TTACATGCTCTCATCTTTGGACTGATATAATTGCACACCTAAAAAGAGTAATTTTAATTGGGAAAAAAGTATTCTTCCCTCCCATCTCACCAACAGTGCCTTGTTAGCTGCATCGCTGGTTAACTAATAACAATCATTTTAACAAAGAAACATAACAATTGCCCAGCTAGCTTATACCTATGATCCATCAAGTCCAGAACTCTGTCTCTAAAAGGGGTCTGTACCAGCTGCTTCAGAAACCTTGTAGTTGATGGATATATCTGAAGAATATTTCTGTTTTCTGATAAGCAGTGTACAGTTTTACCTGTAGGAAACTAATCCAGAAACTGAGGGGGAGAAATGAAAAAACAAAAACAAAGGATCATTTAAATTCAATATATTTTTATTCTTTGTAAATACAATGAGTACAACTTTTTAACTTCACAAATCAGTTAATCCACTTTGTACAAGAAAAGTTTTACTCATTCTATGATAGTCCAAGTGCTGATTTTTCTCAGTGCTAGTTCCTAAACAAATCAAAATTTGAAAAGTACAGCAGCTATCTTTAAATGTTTTTTCTACATTTTTCGTAAGTATAGTCATATCAAATAAGCAGCTTATAATGTGTGTGTGAGAGAGAAATCAAAGCTGTAATTAAAACCTGGAGTTTTCTTTTTAAAAAAAGGCATTGGACAGTCTTGGAGACTATTAGCATTGTATCAATTGACCATCTTTATTTCTTCATAATTAAGTTCTTTCCGCTTTTTTAAAAAGTTATTTCATCTTTCTGTACACCTCATTGACAAAGAGTTTGGCCACCATTGCCTTTGGTTTCAGCACTATGTCAATGGGACAGCGATCGGCTCACTGAATCAATCATCCATTTTATTTGGTTTTGCTGTTTTAGTCTTTCTTACTTGCTGTATATTTGTTTGTGTTCTATGTAAAGCTCTTCCGTCTTTTGAGATGTTAACCACATTGAAATTCCGGTGATATTTGCATTAAAGTTCACCAGTTTATTTTACAGGGAGGCCTAGCCTGTTTAATCCAAAATGTAACTGTCAGCATATGCTACTTTTAAAATCAGTTCCGAAGGCCACTTTATGATGTATTACAACAGAAGCAGAGTTTTGGTAACCTGGATTTAAATGTTGTCTATAACATTATGAATATATTCACCAACATAAGCTACTTTTAAACAGATCTAAGGGCACCTCGACACATTATAACAACACAGTGGTTGGTTACCCAGTGTTCCAAATGAAAGAACTAAAGTACCTTATTTTTCTTTATATCTCAGATCTGCCAGTTAAATGATAGACTAGCAGAGTCTTTCTTAGTTATGATTGACAAATTAATTGCCACCACCCTGTAGAAACAGGAAAAACAGTCACATTCCAGTCAATTCAGTTTTTCTGTAGAGCAAAACATTCTATCCATGCTCTAAATCATTCTGTTCAAGGAGCAAAATCATATCTAATGGGATTTTTTTTAAAAAATTCTCAATGAATTTAAAAGTTAAACCATTCCCAGGCTTATGCTTCCTGTAGATTTTGTTAGTTGAGGCTTATTCTCCATGGATAAAAGTTCTTATCAAACTGTCTGTCCGTCCATCTTGATTGTTTATTTTAAGGTGTTTTATATGTCACTGGATTTGTACATATCTGAAAGCAGTCTTGTAATTGGCACATTCCCAATGGTCTTTTTGAAAAATACTTCTTCTATTGTAGATGGACTAATTGAACGTAAAGCTGGCAAAAGCAATAAGAGTTTTCCAAAACGGCAGGGTTGTGTGGGGTACCTAAAATACAAAATGACAGGGAATGTTACTGAGGGGTCATATATTTTTCCAAATTCCAAAATCACTTACCTTAATGAAATACAAAACCAAAATTCAGCGAATTGTAGGGTTTGGTTCTCATTGAGTGAAATCTTGCTTGCCTTCTCATATAAGTAGACATGTTAACTTTAATAGGAATGCTCACAGTAGGGAGGTAACCAGGCTTTGGACCAATGTTTCTACATGTTGCTCTTTGGCCATTTTGTTTGATCTCATGGATGAATAACATATAGAAGGGAAATTCTGTTCTGACTTACACATCAGACAATAAGCATGAATTGGGTGTAACTCAGAAGAATTTGACCCATGTTAAATAAACTGTGTTTATTAGCTTGCAAGTTAAATCTACCCAGTATGCTGTATTAGTCAGCTTGCAGATGTTTGACTCCAGTGTCACTTCTAATAATTAACATTTTGAGCACATTCCTTCCCTGGAAATATAAATCTATAAAAGGCTATTTTCTATCCTCATTAGCTACATAATTCTTCCCAGCTTTTAAAGATAAAACAATATGGGCCTGATTCTGATCTTGCTGATGCCTATTTTTCACCAGTGTAACTCTGCTGACTTTGGAGGTGTTACTCTGGAATTTGCACTGCTATAAGTAAAAGGAGACTCAGGCGCACTTTCAGACACATTTGTAGCCAAATTCTCTGAGCTTCCATCACTTTCACTCATGTAAATTAGGAGCCATCTCATTGAACTCAAAGGACTTGCACTAGGGTAAAACCAGAATTAGAGCAGATTCAGGCCTCTGCCTTCACATGAGGTCAAGTCATTAACAGTCCAATAACAACTATGAAGTCAATAGAGACTTTTGTCATTTACTTCAATTGAGGCTAGGATTTCACCTTCAAAATGTCCAACTCTTATAAAAATATATCAACATGCAACAGAAATTTCTAGAGGTCAAGAACATAAGAACAGCCATACTGGGTCAGACCAAAGGTCTACCTAGCCCAGTATCCTGTCTTCTGAGAGTGGCCAATGCCAGATGCCCTAGAGGGAGTGAACAGAAAAAAATAATCATCAAGTGATCCCTCTCCTGTCATCCATTTCCACAGGCTAGGGACACCATTCCTACTCATTCTAGTTAATAAGTATTTATGGACTTAACCTCTATGAGTGTATCTAGTTCTTTTCTGAACTCTGTTAAAGTCCTGGTCTTCACAACATCAACAGATGTTCCAAAACGATTGCATTGACCACCCCCAAAAATATATAAGGGGCCCTATCTCCATCAAACATGGTCACCAATATTTTTGTATGGTCCCCTTTCCAGAAAAGTGGCATAGACTGTGAAATGCCTAAAACGGGAGAAGAGGGGAAGGGAGGAGAGGGAGAATAACACTGTTCCTAATTGCTGCCATTATTTAGACTACAAGATTTATTTACAGTGTATATAGTCATTAACTTCTCTTTTACCATTGTGGTTGAGAACTAACCATTTCACTCCTGCAGAAATACCCATGGAAAAGTACTATCAAGTCTGTAGTATTGCTTTGGCATCCATTTTGACAGGCAGCCTCTCTATATTGCTCTACTGCTCTGTGCCTTTTTGTTTACTTCAGAAACATGGATCACTCTGGAACCATGAGACTGAAGACCTCAGTTCATGCCTGTTCACACAACCCACATGTTGGTTTTAACAAGGCTGGATTTTTTTCTCTCACCAGTGTAAAACACTGACGTGAATAGAGTAAAACTGGTGTAAGTTGAGGACTTCCAGAGAATTTACCAGTGGGAAAGTTGCTGGCTTTGGAGAGAGCACCAGGCCACTTAAAGCAGTGCTTCTTGCCGCCTTCTTGCACTGACTGGCCATATAACACTAACTCCTCCTGAGCTCCAATTGCACGCTATTTATGTGAAGGGGCTTCAATGGCGGTGGGGAGAAATAGAGTAAAACTGGTGTAAGTTGAGGACTTCCAGAGAATTTACCAGTGGGAAAGTTGCTGGCTTTGGAGAGAGCACCAGGCCACTTAAAGCAGTGCTTCTTGCCGCCTTCTTGCACTGACTGGCCATATAACACTAACTCCTCCTGAGCTCCAATTGCACGCTATTTATGTGAAGGGGCTTCAATGGCGGTGGGGAGACTTTTTAGTATGTACTGGACGGACTGCTTGATATTTTTATGTTTGCTCACATCTGCCGTGAAGGCTACTATCTACAGTCTAAACAAAGGAAGTCAAAGCTTTCTGACAGTGAACAGGTAGTTTTTTGAATATGCCCTTATGTTTGCAAAATAATTACAGTCAGGGTGGTTATGGCTGGGCTTCGCAAACTTGAATTGATTTGAATTGATTATATTAATGTTCATTTATAAGCATCTCTTTATTTCTATATATTTAAATACTGTATCCACAGTTGCATGAAATTATGGGAGGAATCAACATACTAAGTAAATATCCTTAAGTCAAACTTTAACTTCTCAAACAAAATACAGGACTATGTAGCACTTTAAAGACTAACAGGATGGTTTATTAGATGATGAGCTTTCATCTTGTTAGTCTTTAAAGTGCTACATAGTCCTGTATTTTGTTTCAGCTACATCAGACTAACACGGCTACATTTCTATCACTATTTAACTTCTCAAGCAGCCTTGTTCGTACTTTGCTTAGCTGTAAGTTTTAGTTCTTAATCAATGGAAATATTTTTTCATCCATCTCCATGTACAATGAAATGAATTTTTATTAACATTTATCAAGGCTAGTTGTAGCAGTACTTAGATGATGTTGGTAGGGGAAATTTCCCTAGGACTAAGTTGTCATCTGGATTCACACATGTAACTCTTGGATCACGGAATTATGTCCTATACTAAGGATTTTATTTTTTCCAGTGTAGATTCTCATACTCTGCTCATCACCATAGTATTTGAGTGTCTTAAGCAGTGTGTTTAATGTCTGTCATGGGATGTGTTTGTTCTCTCATCTCACCACAGGGAGAAGTGTGTGCACTGGAATGTCTTGTTTTGGATTTTACTTTTAAATGATATAGAACATACAGAGAGAGAGAGGGAGAGAAATGTTGCTGTGTGTTTATGAAGGCCAGGTCAAAGAAATGTGCCTTGCACATGAAGGAGAAGGTTGGTGAGATTTTTGATGGTCCTTAGTTCTTGGGAAAATTCTTATCACAGTCTTGGGATGGCCTGCACAGACAGGCTTCACACTTACTGTAGAGAGTTCCATTGTATCAGAGAATAAAAGTTGTTATTGGAAGACTGGCCTATAAAACAGGTTAGATCAAGAAATACATAGAATGTAGGCTTTGTCTTTAATTAGATTAAGTGTAGAGAAGTATGGGAAATTGAGTTTGTTAATATGAGTGAAAGTTAGAGACAGTAAGATAGGAAAACTGAGACATGATCCAGGGTTATGATGCGGCTATGTTTTGATTAGAACTGTTTTTAATGGTTTTAATGAACATTTTTGAGAATAAGGAATGTTTTACTGAAGTGCTACAGCCAGGTGAGAACACTGATGTAAATGTTAATTTCAGTAGTGTGTAATATGAAGAGCCAATATAGAGATGGTGGAAATGCAACTCTGATAATGGATAGGTTTAATGTTGTTAAAACTGAGTAGTCTTTTAAATTAGATAGCGCTCCAGTTAACACCAAAAGGGAATTCTGTTATATTACAGAATTATACAATTATATTTTATCTAGTTGTCAGTGAACTGATCATCCTTTGATATACCATTCCAATGTGAGTATAATTGTAGTAATGTGTGAATGGTAAGTGTATGCCTGTTTGCTTAGCTAATCGTTTTTCTCTTAAATAAAGTTTGGGTCTATCATTTGAAATGTCATCTGGGGTCCTCTACTAAATTAAATAGTGTAAGTGATCTCTCAGCTAGAACCTAAAAACTAAGTTTGGCTTATTGTTCTCTTAGCTTTAATGATTTAACATTAAGTGGCAACCTTTAAAATTCAAGGTTATAAAAGTGAATTTAAATGTTGCCCCTTTTCAGAATACTCGTTGAAGAAAAAGCAGTTTGGTGATATTGAGGGAAGTACATCTGATCTATGACACTAGACAGAATCAGTCTAAAATGTTTTATCCAAAATGCAGGAGGACATTTTGAAAGGGAAAGATGAGGACAGGTGACAAAAAAGAATGAGTATATGGAAATGCAGAGACTGGAGGTTAGACCTTTTTTTCTTTTGGGTGCATCTCCATGTTCACTATGGAAACCTGAGGAGTCCCCGTTCCCCCTCACACTTGTCCCCCTACTCAAATTACCCCCTGCTCCAGACTTTGCTTTAAAGCCAATTTATTTCAAGCTAAGGACTGTACAAGATGCCTTTCAGAGCTCCTCACCATCATTTCTGAAAGGACCGGAGGAATCATAGTTGAATGAGATACAAAGCACACCCTTCCTCTCCACCCAGTTGCCTAATGAGTTGCTTCGACACTAGTCCTAGCCCTCATGGTCCAATGCTGGAGGAGTTTTGAAAAGTATTCAAAGCATGGTGCTCTAAACTGTGGTCATATTAAGACAATTGCACAAATAGTGAGAATGGCAGTGGTTTTCTACAAAGTACTTTTCCTGCATGCCGAGTTTTACCCTTGTAAATTTCACAAGGCACTGACTACAGCTTTTATGGTTGATATACAGGTTTTTGTATCTCATGTTTTATACTGAGCAAGACTGAAATGAAGTTTTCCTTATAAACTATCATTATCATTCTTGTTAAGATGGCACTGCGCTAGGAGTCACAAGATCTGTGGTTTTCTATTTTCAGCTCTGCCATTTCTCACACCATGGGTTTTGGATAAGTCACTACCTTGGTTTCCTTATCTGAAAAATGGGAATAATACTATAAAATATATTGAGATTCTAAAATATAAAGTACTGTATGAGACTTCATATTATTTAATACAGTAAAATATATGTAAAATCTCCAGTTTTCTGAATATAGTATATATGTTCCTTTTCAGGTATCACATATCATGAAAAATTATCTCTCTTTTATTTTCCACTTATCTGAATAAATTCCATGTCCCCCATTTCATTTGGATGATCCAAGTTCTACTGTAGGCATATGATCACTGTGAGCATGGAATGAAATCCTGGCTCCACTGAAGTCAATGAACAGTTTGCAATTGACTTCACTGAGGTCAGGAACTCATCGAGGGTGTTTGGAGTGAAAAAAAGTATTCAGAGAAAATATTGATCACCTGGTGTGAATGTAACTGTTCAGAGTGAGTTGAGCTTCGTCTTGAAGAGCTGCAATGGCCGCAGCATTTCGAAAACTTCTCAGTTCAGAACCACTGTGTGTAGGTACTGGAAAGCAGATCAGTAACGAGTCAGGTGGCTTCTTAAGAGGGTCAAAATATTAAGATTTAACTAAGAATGAACCTTTATTTTTACAATCCATTTGAAATACTTCGGGTGTAACACTGCCTTTCAGAATTCAGTCACAGAAAACGTATTAGCTGATGTAATCACATCTCCATTTTAAAATGTCAGTTCATTTGAAGGGCTAACCAGTGAAATAGCTAGTTCCCAGAGCAGAAAAACAAGAGATTATTTCTGCTTACCAGCTTTAAAAGTGACAATGCATTTGAGACAGGCAAATTCAGTAGCATCTAGCCGAAGTTGTCTAAATCTAGCCACAACCTCCTGTAAAGCCTGTATTTCTGAAATAATTTTATTCAGCTTCTGAGAATCTGTATTGTCACCATTCATGCCTAGAACAGAAACATATGAAAAATACTCTATATTAAGCCATTTGCATTAATTTATATTGATTTCTGACAAAAATCCTCTGTATCAATATCTATTCAATTGTCACTCTTAGATATCCAATTCTATGTAAACTGACTATATTGTATGAAAGTTAATATAAAATCTTCTCTTGGATGATAACAAACACAGTAATTTGCATTTAAATGACAATGCAAGCAGTCATGAATACAACAAAACAACATTATTTGCATTTAAATATAGATTTATAAATGACAGGTATGCTCTATTGTTCAGAGGGAATTTGTTATTCTTTACATGTTGTTCTTTTTTCAGTAATGTATTTTTATGGTAATTTCTATAACAAAGTCATTAAATTGTGCAATTCTTACCAGATACAGCCAGTAGAGTGTTAGCGTCAACTGGAATGGCCCATTGTGCTATTCCTAGAACAAACAGTTCTCTCCAAGCATCTTCCAAAAGCATCAGCTGTCATACAATAGATGTACAATATAACATGGTGTATAATTTATAGATTTATAAACATTTTCAATATGTAAATTTCTGTTATTTTAAAAACTGCTTTAAATGCCTGTCTTTGATACTTTTTCCCTCTGAATATTTTAGCTTTTCCTTTATTTGTTTGATAAGGTGTCGATGGATAAGAATACCCTTTGAAGAAATATTATTAGTATGAATTATTTAGAACCTATTATCCCCACCCATGATCAGGGCCCATTGTGCTAGGTCCTGTGTAAACCCAGAGAATGAGAGATGGTCCCTGCCCCAAAGAGCTTACATCTTTATAAATATCTACTCATATTTTTCAAAAGCAGGCTTGTTCAAAAAGCATTCTCTTCTCTTCTGTATCTATAGCTGCCTTAGTGTCAATAGGCATGTGTTCTGAGAGTATAATGGATGTCTATCACTTCCTTTAATGATATCTACACTAGCAGACTTTTTTCCCCTGCAAATATATGATCTGTGAAATGAGTGGCAGATTACTATATGGTGGTTTCAACTTACACCACTTGATGGAGAGTCCATTCAAAGCACTACTATACAAGGACAAGCATCCTCTTACATTCAAACAACTGTTGGTTAAAGAAATCTATAGTGCATTAAAAGACAATATCAAAGTACGTGAAGATGGTATTTTTTTCTAGTTTTGCTGAAAAAAAAGCCCTTGAAAGCTGGACACTGAAATTTCGTTACTGTAGAGTGAGGCCCAAATCCACACACTAGAATGTCACTGAATTTTGGGAAAGTTTGAACCTGGATCCAAACATCTTGGACTGTCCCTTTTCAGCAAGAGACAAACCCCAACTTCACAGCCAATCACTTGTGGAGTTTGGAGCCCATCTGATTTGGATCCAGCTATTTCAGCCAATGCTATTGTTTGCTCTCTATAACCTTTCCATCCTGGTTTGTTTTTGTAGATTTTTTTTTCTTTGAGGTGCATACTCTGTGCCCAATTCACATCTCTTTGCACTCGGGCAACCCGAATGATTTAAGTACAAACATGCTTCATGTAGGCATGAAAGGAAAATTTGGCTCCCTAGGATTTCTAATGGCAAAACCAGCAAATAATAATGTGTGTTTAAGTGCACGTATGACATTTTGGCCCAGCCCACCTCCTTTGCCTGCACGTGGAGGGCCCTACATTTAGCTGAACTTCATCAGTTCCATGGCAAGGTTTGAAGGGCATGCCACAAGGCATGCCACAGAGCATGCATACAGGTGGGACTTCATGCCTCTTTGTGGACCACAACAACGTGGAGGAAACTTTGTGAGCAGGGCAAGAGTAGGCTCAGGCAGAACTGTCTGGTGGCCATAAGATTATGAAACGTTGCCCAAAACCCTTGCAAAGAACACGAGGGCTTTGTAGCTGCTACTTCCTCCCTAAGACTTCAGAAGTAGTTGCAACGAAGCTCCACTGGTATTACGCAGTTGATGGGTAAAGAGAGGGGATCCCATCCTCAGGTCTCAGGATAACACACACTTAGAATTTTCATGTTCAAAAAGTGGAAACTTGGACAAATGACTAGGGAGGGGTTTAACTGTATAGCTCGAGAATGCCGGGGGGTTATCAGGAAGGCGAAAGCGCAATTGGAATTGCGACTGGCAAAGGATGTGAAGGGTAACAAGAAAGGTTTCTACAGGCATGTTAACAAGAAGAAGAAGATTAGAGAAGGTTTGGGGCCCCTACTGGATGAAGGAGGTAACCTAGTGACAGATGATGTGGGGAAAGCTGAAGTACTCAATGCTTTCTTTGCTTCTGTATTCACTGACAAGCTCGGCTCCTGGACAAATGTGTTAAGTGACGCAAGATGGGATGAAGATAGACAGCCCTTGGTGGGTAAAGAACAGGTTAGGAACTATTTAGAAAAGCTAAATGTACACAAATCCATGGGTCCGGATTTAATGCATCCAAGGGTACTGAGGGAGTTGGTAAATGTCATTGAGGAGCCTTTGGCCATTATCTTTGAAAAGTCATGGAGATTGGGAGAAATCCCGGATGATTGGAAAAAGGCAAATGTAGTGCCCATCTTCAAAAAAAGGAAGAAGGCCGATCCAGGGAACTATAGGCTGGTCAGTCTTACCTCGGTTCATGGAAAAATCATGGAAGGGATCCTTAAGGAATCTATTTTGAGGCACTTGGAAGAGAGGAAAGTGATTAGGAATAGTCAGCATGGATTCACAAAGGGCAAGTCGTGCCTGACCAATCTGATTAGCTTCTATGATGAGGTAACTGGCTCTGTGGACATGGGAAAGTCAGTGGATATGATATACCTTGACTTTAGCAAGGCTTTTGATATGGTCTCCCACAATATTCT